ATATATCATGAACACATTTAGAATCAGTTAAGAGCGTTTTACCTAATGATTACGACACGCAACTACAAACGTACCAATTTACCCAGTGAAAAGACGGAAGTCCTTAAATTTGTATCAAGTACTGTACGAGTACTCCTAGCCTAAGCAGAATAACAACCTGTCATACCTGATCGGATACTCGTGTACATTTAAGGAAATCTGGATATATCTCGACACAAGCTCGTAAATCGTACACAAAACGCCGAAATTATGAAAGACAATTGTTTTATATGAAGTTTGACTAAAAAATGATACATATTTTTTGGTTTCAATTACTTGTTGTCAAATTGATTTATGCCTACGTATATGCATGTATGTATTGGAATGGTTTGCAATGTCACATTGCGATTGACTGTCATAGTTTCTAAGCCTGTGGCAAGAAAGAGGCTGCGAATTTTAAAATTAATTCTAATTTAGAAAAATGCCTCAAACTGCTCATTTGACTCGCTCGTCTTGACGAAAGTCTTGTGCACAGGCATCAATGATGTGAAGTTCATTATTTGAACTTTGTTTTGGAACTATCTTGACACATAATCAAAAAAAGTTAACCTTCATACATTATTCATGGTATTCATTATCTCTATGTACATTATGTTCGTTGGATTATGTGAGGTATGTATGTATTTGTGTCATTACGTGTTGCATGTGATATTAAGTAGTATTATACACTCGATCACAGGAGTCACGTGGATGGCCAGGGTTGAATGTTGAAAATGAGCTCAAATAATTCACTGACCACAAACCATATTGCAATTCTAAATCATAGCGAAGCGTGATTAAACACAACTCAGCCAATCACAAAGAACGCCCGCTCGACGTGCAACCTTACACAACTATCCCACAATGCAATGTCGGTATGGTCGATGGTGTACTCGTTATTACGCGATAAACAGTTGCACCATATTTATAGAATAGCGTACCTTAGGATTACATGATTGCATGTAATCGACAACCACGTTCACAATTATATTTTTACAAACATTCGTGGGAGAGAAATCAACATATAGTATAGAAGGAGGTGTACAAGAGATGTTTATCTAAATATTGAGATAAATCTTAGAAAGGAATCTGGTACATTACATAATTTAGACTAATGAGAAATTATACAATCTGACTCAACCTAATGTACTGTATGGTTTGCATTGGAGTTGAAAGCGAATTATTTTTCCATCTGTGTTGTAAGTGTCGTTATACCCAAAATAACTGGGATAACTTCTGTAATTAATTAAGTTTTACAGTTTTTTAATGAATTTGTATAAAATACACAGAAATTGAGTTCTTAATTCAGGTAACTGTACAAATGGGAGAGTGCATAGTCAGACAATGGCTTTGCACAAACTCTACATAA